GAACAACCGTTTTCTGAATGCTCTGAAGCAAACTGTCAATGATCGCGCTGTCTCCTCGATCCTCCTTTTCCTCTAACCTTCCTTTCACCCATTCTCCTTCCTCCTTCCCTGTCTCCTCCTAGTCTCAAAAATTTATTTGCAAAAATGCATAATTACATCAGGGACGAATTGCGTGCTCCTTCATTTTATGCCACTAGCTTAGGATGAATCAAATCGAATATGGAACGAAATGAAGGCAATACAGGACAATTCTGGGGCAGCTGTGGTTTTGCGTCAACGACGCTCTCGCATGCATATTTATGGTGGCGGCAAACAAACTGTGTGCTCCGAATGCTCGCAACTTAGGTGAGAACTATTTCCTAGTACTTGCAACCTCAGATCATCCAATAAAAACACCTACAGTAATAAATGGAGTGAGGAGCATATCATCTGGTTGGACCGAAGGTTTTCGAATTTTAGTAACTGGAAACAGGATCTTTAAGTCCGTAAAATCTCTGCAAAACTATGCTCTATCAACAACAGAAGTCTTCTCGGCTGTTGCATTTTTCCCTGATGTGATTCTAATTATTATTTTTTCAAGCTTTCCTGAATGTAAGGAGCACTACAAGGAGCGTCTTCGCTGTGGTTCTTGGTTCTTAAACTTTCCTCTGTTGCTCCTCCGCCATCTCGCCCTGAGATTCAGAATCTTCAAGTTTTGCAGCTGTTTGAATAAAAACATTCAAAAAGCCATATTCATTTTTCTTCATCCCAAATTAACGAAGCGTGGGAAAAATTTCCAGTTGAAGGACTTGGGTTGAGCAAATGTAAAATATTTTGCAATGTAAAAAAAGATTGAAGGGCTGCTAAAGCCAGTCCTTGGATTGATTGGAAAAACAAAGTGAAAAAGCTAATGTCACATAAACCCCAAATTTTTGAATTTTCAAACGTATGTAGATTAAATCTGTCATTAACAGACATACAGACATAAATCTTTCATTGATAAAATAGGGATACAGAATGAAACTGAAAATACTATGCCTATCATGATCGTCGCAAAAAATCCAAAATATTTAACCACAATGAACAAAAACAAGCTCACTGAGTCGTTGTGATGCTTCTAGTACACAGTGCATCCAAGATCTTTCTTATTCTGGGATGCTTGTGTTCAACTGTTACTGTTGGGCAAATGAACACTGTCTCTTCGCAATTGTCCAAGAAAAAAGTGAAAAGTACAAATAAAAATCCTTGCAATGTATATCAATGATATCAGAGCCACTCGGACAATCGGTATAGGGATTCCATGACCGAGGTGCTCTCGGGCACCGAGCGTAGTGCAGCTATGCCAAGCTCTTCGATCATGGGTTGCAATAGGAAAATATTTTAAAGCTGGAATAAGACAAAGTAAATAATATTAAGAAATTAGCAAAAGTTGTTATAAAATATATTATAAGGATAAGAGATGTTTCGGTCCACTAAATTTTCTGTCAGCACTTCCTTTGCGATGTTTACCGAGCACCTTTTCGAAGGCCACCTGCATGAACAGCGTTTGTAATTTATCAACTTGTTTACCAAAGAATTCAAAAAGTAATCCTAAAGTAAGAAGGTTTTTATAGTTGTCCAACAGGACCAACTGGTCTTGCCGGTGCTGCAGGTGAGGATGGT